CAATGGTGAGAGTGTTTTGGGGATGGGTCAGTGTCCCCATAGGGAGCCCTTCAAGGGGTTGGGTGGGGGCAGCTTGAGGCCCCTGACAAGGGCAGGAGTGACAGAGGAAGGTTTGAGGGAGGGTGAAGGATGTGGGGGTGGACACAGTTACGTGGCAAAGTCTGGGGAGAGCAGTCAGTGCCCAAGAGGGCAATGGGTCCCCAAAACACTTGCCCCCCCTCCAGGGGTGAGCAGGAGCCAGTTGGGGCGACCGCAGCCACCGACCCCGGGGACACAGCCTTGGTGCTGGTAAGACCAGCACCCAGAAAGGAGGGGGTCTTTGGGCTGCCAGGGTTCAGGGAGCCCCTTTCACCCCTTCCCTTTCCCCAGGAGACACTGTTGGAGTCAGCCCATTCCTGTGTCCCAGGGTGCCCCCATCCTGCACCCTGCCCCTCCTGGGACACAGTCCCCCTCCTCACTCCACCAGCCACCACAACCCACCTTGGTCACACAGTTGTATACCCAACTCTGAAATAAACTGCCATTATCCCACCCGGTGTGGCCTGCCTGGCTCTAATCCCTTCCCAAGGTGACCTGGGCACGTGTGGCACATGGCCACCTCCTGCTAATGCTGCGTGGTCACCGTCACCATCCCCATCCCCAAGGCTCAGCCCTGCTCCATGCTGAGGTGATGGCATCCTCGTTCCCATGGGTCAGCCCTGCTCTGCGATGGGTTGACAGTGTCCTGGTCCCCAAGAATCAGCCCTGCTCTGTGTCAGGGTGACGATATCCTGGTCTCCAAGTGTCAGCCTTGCTCCTCCCCCTTTCTCAGCCAAAAATAACTGCTGTCCCTCAGCCAGACCTTGGCATCTGGGCTGGAGCCCAGCACGGGTTGGGGCGAGCAGCCGGGAGCCTTGGGGTGCTCAGAGGGCCAGCTGGGGCCACCGAGAGCTGGTAACCACAGCTTGGCTTTAGCCTCATCCCCACTGCAGCCGGAAAGCATCTTCGGTCCCCAGTGTCTGGACATCCCCTGGCCAGGTAGGGGAGGTGGGTCAGCAGGTGGGTGGGGGCATGGGGTTCGGGGTCCTCCCAGCCTTGGCAGTGGGGAAATTGCCACTGTGGAGGGGTCAGGGTATGGTCTTCGCAGACGGGAAGTCCACAGGCGCAGGTCTCAGGGTCGCTGTGCGGATGGTCAATGTCGAGCTGGCAGTGAGCTGCGTGCCCTGCACCCGCGGCCCCACAGGGACAGACCCCCTGTTCTCCAGGGCTCTTGGGGTAAGGTCGGTCCAAGCTGAGGGACGCGAGATGCACGAAACAGAGGCCAAACCTTGAACTCACTGAGCTGAATACCTCCCAGCTACTCAGAGGAATGCTGCTGGGGGAGGGCACCCGGGGGGTCTTGGAAGAGGGCTGGTCTCCAGCTGCTTCCCCACTAAGAAGCTGGGAGCTAAGGAACAACTCAGCCCTGTAAATGGGGATGGGGACCCTGCACACCATGTCACCACTGTCTGGACTTGCTGGTTCCCCAGAAAGGTCAGGGTTGTGGTCCCTGCACCCTCGGGGCCAGCAGCTGAAAATAGCTCTGCTGAGGCAGAGGTGCTGGGGTTGGGGGGGCAGCCAGGGCCCCTGTTCACTGGGCAGGCAGCAGATGCTGCTCCAAGGGGGCTCAGGACGTGAGGACACTGGGTCACTGTGAGTGAGGACAGAGCCAGAGGCATTTTCTGCCCTAAAGAAACACTGAAAAGACAGACAACAATCAGGGGCTGAGGGATGGCACGCTTTGGACGTTTACCTACATCTGTTGAAGGGAATGGAGCGAAGCACAGGGAGGGTGCTGGCCAGGGGAAGTGTTCAGGGATGATGCTGTCCGGGCAGATGCTCAGCCAAAGATTGGCATGCCTGGGGGTGATGTGTCCCCATGCTTAGTGACACCCCAGGGCTGTCTCTCTCTTCCAGCTGGGCAGGATCCATCCTTCTCCCACAGAGCTGCCCCAAAAGCGCGGCAGCAAGTGATGACCATCATGAGACCGGGCTCTGAAGATGGTAAGGGGTGCCGGGGGTACCACCGGCTCAGGGCGGTGCTGTCCCCCCACCTATGTGCTAGACCCAGCTCTGGCCAAGGCCACTGGCCCTACTCCCCAAGGTCTCTGTGCCTGCTTGCTTGGTCCCCTCTTGCACTACAATCCCAAGGGGCAGCAACTGCATGTTGGAGGTTGGAGGGTGTCCATGCATGGGTGTAGGAGAGGCTGTCTGAGCCCCTGGAACCGAGATAACTCCCTGACAATTCCCCACACCGAGGAAACGCCAGTTCCTGACTCAGCTCCCAGTGCAGGCGTGTGGCTGAGCCGTGTTACAGAGACCCTAGTGAGGGGATGCACTGTGGCTTGGGGGGGTCCCCAG